ATATATATATATATATATATATATATATAATGAATCATGTTCTATCTGTGAATCAACATTAAGGAATAAATCGTAAGATGATGAGAGAGGGAGGGAGAGAGGAAGGGAGAGAGAGAGAAAGTGCATAATAATAAATAGTAATTCGAATTGTTGATTAGTCATTTCTCAAGAAAATGATCCCCTAGGGTGGTATAATATATGAAATTACATGTCTGCCCCCGCTTTAATGGGGGTCGTTGCAAGATATTTGGGGTAATTTACATGTATACACATTCGGTTCGGCCACCTTATGGCTTTTTTTGCTGGAATCAGTTGGATTTGGTTTGACAAAATTATTTCTTTGACCGTACTAAGTCAGGGTTGTCGGTTGGTCTTTGTTGGTCTTCGGGTACTTTACTTGTCTACTTGGTTTTGTCGGTCAGTTGTGCTAGTATAATTGTCGACTATTGATTACCAACTAAAGAACTCATGCCAGTAGAGTAAGACTAGTCTATCGGGCAGAGAGCGATTTATTATAATCAGACGGATTGCCTACTCCTTGAGAAGGTGATTCTTCAAGATGCTATAAGTGATTATGCTATAACCAGTTCTTGGAGGAATCTTAAAGGCGTTCGTCAGATGGCTGGCGATGTTGAATTCTTCTTTTGAGTTGGGTTGTGGCGAGAGATAGTTCTATGCCTATGCTCAACTCGATTTGCCTTAATCGTTGGCTTGGATGACAAGTATTCGATTGGCCTCTAGCTTCCATTTCGGGGAGCCAGATCTAGTTAAATAGGTCGTATGATATTTCGCCAATGAACCCTTTGTCTTCCACTGGTGAACCCTTGAAACGAGTTATTGCTTGTATTCTTATTCATCTATATACGTGACGTGACCTCAACCAAAATGAAGATGCAATATATTCCATTATCATTGGAAACTGTAATATGGTTTTAATTTTTATTTTCGATTTGTTTATGTAAAATTAATATAATTCATATTATATGTACTAATATTGACTAAATTTCACATTTTACAACTCGAAAAAGGATTTTTTTTCCCTAAATGAGAAAAATTTTAGTTTGTGAACTGCATATTAATTTGAATAAAAAATTTAATTGAAATTTTAGTCTATGTTTAAAATTTACATGAATAAGCTTTTATTTATTTTTTTTTGTAATTATCTCAAACATACAAATGTATCTTTATGTAAGTATGGTTTACTTGAAACCAATGACTATATCTCAAAATAAATGATGTTGCTTTGCAATACACACACACACGAGAAATTATTGCGTACGGATATCGCATGCATCTCTGCATGAAGGTGTCCGATCCTGAGAGGTGTCCGATCCTGATAGTAGATCACGGTGATCTGGTCAAGATATATTTTAGTTTTAAGAAAAAAAAATTTTTGGTGGGGCCCACCAAAATACATCCTGACCGTAGATCACCTGATTTACGGTCAGGATCAGACACCACATGCATCTTGCATGCGGTGTCCGTCCGTATGGAATAATTTTTTCCACACACACACACACACACACACATAGATATCAACCAATGGCCAGGAGGCGGTGTTCTTCCGTCCTTCCGACAGTTCAACAATTGAGGCAGAGAGCTTCGTTTATCGATCATCTTTTGCATATTAGGTTTAGAGTATGTTTGGGCATCTACATCCATTTGAATAAGCAACTATGTTTGGGCATCTACATCTGTTTGAATAAACAACTAAAGAAGTTGTTATTAAAAAAACTATACTACTAAAAAAAAGAAAAAAAAATCAGAGAGTCAGGTATGGTGAAAAAATAACTTTTAGCTATATCTTTTTAAAAATACAGACAAAAGACAGTTTTACCAAATAAAAAAAAATTACAAACGACTCTACACCGCCGACCTAAACGCACTCTTAGACAACTTCTCTTATTGTTATTTAATTGAATTGTGATTGGACAATCAATAATAAATATTTGTGCTTGATACCACGAGTTTCGTCATACGGCTTTGCTCCCGTCTCACAATTAAAATGAAGATTTCAACCGTCATCCGTGTGATCCAACTCAGAGCATAATATTTAAAAATAAGCTGAAAAATCCTAGAAAAGGTTAACTCATCCTTGTTCAATAGAATTGCAACGTAGGGCTTCGAATTTAGCTCAAAGATCATTAATCACTTGAAAATTGATTCAAATTTTAGTTCAAATCAAAATAAACAAGCGGAGCTATGAGCCCAAAATTTAGATCAAATATTTTTTTTTAGCCAATTTCAAGCCATATATTAACATTTTTTTAGTAATTGTTATGAGAAGAAATAAATCCAAATAACTCAATTTGAGCCACCACGTTTCGATTTTAAGCCAGATCGAGCTCGATTCAATTTCAAGCCAACTCAGCTCGAAATCGAGTATAATGAGTTATAAGCCGATTTCTAGCCACACTAAATCTATTCGAGCCGTTTTCGAGTCGACCCAGCTCAGCTCGAAATCAGATCATTAACAATCCATGTCAGCTCGAAACCTTATCATTAACAACCCAAACTGCGCTATATGGAAATGGACAAAAGGGGCGACTCATATCTAAGAAAAAAATATGCATCCAAAACTTCCTTAATAATGAAGTACATCAAATTATAAGTTAACAAAAAATAATTTTTTTCAACATTCAGTTACAAAAATCATCTCAACCCTAAATGAAAAAAACTCTCAGGCTGTTTCACTGTTTTAGTATTATCTCAACTTTCATAATAAGCACCAGAATCCACAATGAAACAGGCTTCACTAACCTTATGTTCTGAACGTACATCATTGATGCCCTAAATGCGTGCTCTCCATTCTTGCCAAGGAGATGACATTGCCGAGCTCTGTACAGAAAGGGAATAACAGATCAGAGTAATAAATATTACAAAGGAATTATAAAAAAATAAAATAATCAGGCAGCTGATTAGGTAGTTCATGCAAATCTTTTATATCACATAAAAAATATTTTAGTTTTAAAGAGTGAAATACACCTTTTCATGCATAGAAAAGGTGGTATTTTTGGTGTTGGATGTGTAAATAAATATGAATTGTGCGGTATGCATGCAAATCTTTCAAACAAAAAAAATGTTCCAACCCAATTTAGAATGAACTAGGAGAAGAAGCTGTAACGAAATGAATGTGAGGATGAAGCGAAGAACAAAAAATGAAGTACCAGGGGAAGGCCTTTTGCTGCTCTTTCTTGTAAGTACTTGGACGGAGCAAAGAATGCGCCATATGCGTCTGCCAACTTTTTGAGCTTTGAGTAAATATAGGTGGATCCAAGTGTATCAGCCCAGAATACCAGACCACCCCTTCAGATAAAGCAGATGATATTAGATGAGTTTCTAATGGGGAAATGAAAAACCTGAATATTACAAAATCACATGTAATTCTAATCTCTAGTATCACATCATAATCATTCGCCATGAACCCACAGCTCATTTAAACTGTAAAATAACGGTTATGTCCGGTAATTAGCTATTTTTTCATGTTAAGGGCTATGATTTGTATTAATTTTAATTTCACAAGATCATTTGGCAAGTATTCAGTCTTGTCAGTTTAGTCTCACAAATTTTCACATTTGTCACAATCAAAGGGTGTAAATGAGTTGAGCAGAGCACGAGTCATCCCTAGGTTGAGCTCAAACTTGATTAATTTATCAAATTCAAGCCAGATCTTAAGCTCAATTCGACGACTTTGGGTCGATTCATAAGCTGTCTTATTTATTATAAAAGAGCATGAATTTTGATTCAAATATTTCTTACAATATTATGATAAAAATAATGAAATGTTAGATGAGAAATAAGACAAAATCACTTAATATAAGGAAATGAGATACTTTTTTGATTCACAGATTCCTACTATATATATATATGTGTGTGTGTGTGTGTAAAATAATAATAATATAATAAATACTTATTGAATAGAAAAATAAACATAATAAAATAATGGAAGTTTAATGCTTAATCAATAATGAAAACTTAATAGTCAGAATAATAAATAAATTTAATTTTATATCATGTTTCTTTTAGGTTTTCACTTTAGAAGTGTCAACGTCGGGAAAAACAATCAACATCGAGATGAGTACTTGTAATTTTAAACAATAACAATAATTTGTTTCTTCTTAAACAAATTTGCAGTTGACGTTGACATTATTTGAGGATACTTTAATCTGATTGAGCTATTCATTTCTTTATTGGTTATATAGTAACAAATGTTGTAGTTATTTACTCATGCATTTTAATATATGTTTTATATATTATGATTGCATGCAATGAATACATATATTTATGTTGACTACATGCATGTGCATGTTTGGCTATGATGGAGCACCCCTTGATGATACTAGTGGGAGGACAATAATGTACCCGTGCAATTAAATGGAAAAATGATATTGATATTAAAGCACTTTAAGTTATACAAATTTTTAGCGGTGTTTTCTGTGACGATTGTATATAAATGAAATGATATTGAAAAGCATATGATATAGACTCCTTTTAAGTAACATGTAAAATGTTTATATTATTTATAAAGAAAATTAACTGACATGCATATTGTTCTTTCTTTTCCTTATAATGTTGTAGTTTACAAATACGAGTATCACTAGTTTGTTTAGCTCATTATTATGTTAATTTAACTTTTCAGATATATTTTAAGAGATTAAGAGATAAGCGATAGAAGAGAAAACATTTATAAGAGACGAGGGGACAACCATCAACGAGATAAATTTAATTTATCATTTTAATTTAAATTGTTTAGTGGTCATTTCATCTATTAAATTATAAACGAATATTATTAATTTATTTCACACCATTTGACCGTCTGTACTCCATTTTGGTTAATTCAAAGTCCTAGGCAGAGTTGTGACATATTATTATATTTTCTACCCAAATTAAGTTCAATTAAAATTAATCAAATTTTCAAGAAAAGAAAAATAGCATCACCACTCTTGTGGTTTATTTTTTAATGGAAATATGAACTTGTCTTATAGTCGCCTCGGTGGAGTAATTGGAGCTCTCAAAGGCTATAAGTCAAATATCATAATTAAGCATTATAATTATCGTACTGGGCATCAATTGTGGCTTATCAGTAGAGACTAGCTGCTACAAATCATATATAAGCCTTGTGAGTCTATATATAGTGAGGGTTCATATTTAACAGATAACTAAATGAAAATCTATGGCAAAATATCGTTCACATGATTATTAGTTATAGGGTTCAATCATTTGTATTAATCTTCATCTATCATAAAGACCTAACTAACACTTTCCAAAATAAACCTAAACGGGTCAAGCAGCCTTCAGTAATCGAGTTTCATGACCATTCATAGAAAATATCGTGAGTGTCATGATAGGCATCTTCCCCATCATAAGGAAGAATAACCCTACATAAGCCTTTAGTTGTTAAGTTTAGGAATCAATCCCATTCCAAAAAGATACTATTATATAATATCATGAGTTCAATCTGGGCATCTAACTCTAAAGGTTGTGGAGTTATAATATTTTAACGACTAAAACTAGAATCCATATCTCCTATATAAAGGGAGATACCCGTATATGGTAGCATGAATCTAATTCAGGCATCTCCCTCAAATGATAATAAAATTATAAGATCCCATAAATTATAAGATACCCGTATAATGTTAGTTACTAATAACTAGCACAAAGTGCATATTATATATGTCAGGCGTGGTACCCAAATATATAATCATGAGTTAGCTCAGACATCTATCTTAAGTGATTGTGGAGTTTTATGATCATAAAAAAAATAGTTTTAGAATTGATTATCTTTATATGATATCATTAGTCCAATCGGTATCGCCTTAAACAAATTATGGAGTTGTAAGACATCAAATATTAAGCTTACAATTCATATCCCCTTGGAAAATCCCATTATTGTCCTTTTAGAACTCCATGGGTTTTTAGTTTCCTTGATAGCTTGTTGAGCTTATTCGCAGCAGTCTGCGATCATCAAGATTCATGCAATGCTCAAGAATATCAATCCAAACATATTTAATAAACTCTATCATTAATCTCCTTCCTTGGTATTCTTATACCAAGATTATCTTTTCTGAAAAATCTGAGCCTCTTTGAGGAAAATTACATATTTATCACATAGGGTTCTTGGAGATGTGCAGCGAACCTCAAATGAAGTTCAAATAATTATACTAAAAACAAGGAAAAATAATTAAGTTTAATTTCACTCACCTAAATTTGGGGAAACCCATTCCAAGTATAGAAGCAACATCAATATCAGATGCTCGAAGTACAATTCCTTCATCCATTACCCTGCATGCCTCGTTTATAACCGGAAAGAATATCATCTCCACAATTTCTCCGTCGGTAAAACTTACAGGCTAAAATAAGCATTATACAAACATGTTAAATATTTGCTGCATAGATTAAAACAATATGAGGTTTATAAGTAATATAATCATAAAAAACAAAGTTTCTCAGCCTTATACAATTTTTTTTTTTTTTTTCATTTTTAAGCTGAATTTTTGTAAGGAAGCTAAGAAGAAGGTTACCTTTACACCAGACGTGATGAGTGTACGCTTCCTAGATTCATCAATGACAGTTTGTATGGAAGGATCAGGCTTTGGCCTGCTTCCTGATTGATACAAGTAGTAACCCTTTCCATTTGCTTTTCCTATCAAAATAAGTTGGAAAATTCTGAAGTTCTCAAATAGTACATGCATACAAAAACTACTGCAACAACATACTAGATTGGTTCACCTTACCATTTCGACCACTTTGTATCATCAACTCAAGAAGATCTGTCTCAAATGTACGCCCTTTAAAGGAAGAAGTGAATATTGGCTTAACTGCCAAAGCCACACCATAGCCAGCCACATCTTGAAGTCTATAGGCACCAAGCACAATAAACAAAGAAAACAATACCATCACCTAAACAATTCAATGCAAATGGATGCACATTTTATCAAAAAGCTTAAAAAGAAATATCTAGCTGTGTACATCATAAATTGTTTGCACAAACGAATGAGCAAAACCATGAAGTGGAATAATCTCTGGCCGCCTTCTACAATTCATATATTTCAATTTCATTTCCTAAAGCTACAAGTGCGCATAGAATACATTCGTGATAGACATCACTATCGTTTCTTCTAGTTTTACCACAAGTTTGCACCAAAACTATATTAGTGTTGAATGAGAGAGAACTGGTAGTAAAGTTGCGTTGAGTATACACACAGCAAATTATCACAAGGAAAACAATAATACTGCACGAATGCATGTAACATAGGTGTAACATACAAGAAAAAGTAGTGAAAATAATCCAAGCATTCCAGAAATATAGTATAGTAAACCTGAAAGCTATAATTTAATACTCATGCTTCATTTTACAATCATTATAGCTTTCCTAAAGGTGTTGCATGATGAAACATGCAAGATGAAAGTGTGTCAAATGATGTAGCCTCATGAGCAGGTGGTTCTCCTTCCACTGAAACCGTCAATGAAGCCATTTGCTGGACATAATGATCCACAAAAGAAACACAGAAGGATATACACTTCAGTTGACCCAAACAAAAACTTAGTACAATAACATGTTAATTGCATATGTATCAACATTTCAGAAAATTCATTTAAGTGTGCACAACCAACTTATGGACATTTTGATTTTGTGAAGAAGTTCCACATCCTTTGAGTAGACAAGATATAATTTTAAAGAGTAGAATAGAAAAGTATATTGAACTACGGAAAACGAGGATGGATGCAATATAATGAACATAAGATGAATTTGTTGTTACAAATAGCTACAAAAGCATATCTTTTCTTCAGGGATAAATCTACCAAAAACATGACAATTTTCAAAAAAGATTGGGCAACTTACTGAAAAGGACCCATTGGCATGCCAAAACTGCTTATCACCCTATCAATCCTGTAAAGATCAGCTCCAAGATGCAACAACAAGTGAGCTGCTTGGCTATATGGGAAGAATATCCTATTCACAGCAAAGCCTGTGCAATTTCCTACAACAACAGGAACTTTCTTTATGATCTTCCCAACAGTCAGGAGATCCAAAATTGCTTGTGGAGATGTCTTCTCTGTGCGGACAATTTCTAGTAAAGGCATGACATGAGCAGGGCTGCAAAATTCATAATATCAGAACAGCAAGCCCACATATGAAAAGTAACAGACAAGAATCTGGTTAATAGAAGGTTGGGGGGTTAGTTTGCGCATCAATAATTTCAAGAAGCTCAACAATGATAAATTTTGAAGATCAGATATCGTGTTAAAATATACATAGAAACGGGAAAATTATCCTTCGGAAAAAATTTTCTATCTTTCTGTAGAGTGAGAATAAAAAATTATTGGTCTAAAATAATAATTGGTAGTTTATCTACCCAAAATCTTAAACTGAATGTTTCAATTCTTAAGAAAATGCTATTTAAGTCATATAAAAAAATTCCTGAGTGTCGCCCCCGCTCTAAGTTAAACGCATTTAATATCATTTGATTCATTCCTATGTTTAAATCTCAGTTTCTTCAATAGTCTATTAAAATGGTTCTAGCATCATTACCCTAATACTCTTGTCCTGTGATATGCATATCACATTTTAAAATAAATAACGTAAAAATGTGTTTCAATAATGTGATCACTGCAAAATTTAAGCCTCAATATATGCAAATTTCAAGAACCTCAAACAACCCATCCATGTTGAAATCAATTTTTATTTGAATGCTCGTCATCAATTTAGACACGAAAAGATGCTTTGGGGCATGCTACTGAATCAACCATTGGATTTCACATAACCATGTAGAAAATATTGGAAGATTAAATCCAAGGCCTGCAAGAGTGAATTATAGAGTCAAATAGGTTTAATTTTACTGTAAATAGAATTTCTAAGCCTAAACTTGCTTTTATGTCATATGGATTCCAAGTAGTTGACTATCATTTAAGCCGTCTTTTTAACAGGTGTTGACCGCTGATACCCAAAAGAGAGAGACAGAGAGATTAAAATCCTGATACCTAATCCGTCGGTTCCTACACCTGCTCCCCGCTCGTGTCTCCCACTACCTTACGATCCCGTCAATCGTTTTCGCAGATAACAAAAGATACCTGCACTCCCTTGTCTCTGCCCCAGACCTAGCCCTTTCTTTTGAGCAACCCTCATGAAACCATAGCACGCACAAAATCCCTTCTCCCTGAGCCGTGCGAACAGCCCAGCTCTTCCCCATTCCTCTCCGTTGAGTTCGGTCACCTCGTCCCAGCCACCAAGTCGCTCCAAAGCCCTCACAGGACTTCACCTGAAGCCCTCTTCACTTCACAATCCCCTCGTTAGCTCCCAGTGTTGGGAATCCCGGCCACACGCAAGGCTTCGCAGCCCGTCCCGCCACTCGCTCTCGGCTTCGCGCGACCCAGTAGTCAGCCGAAATTCCACTCGCCCTCCGGTGTGCACCCTGACAGCCACTTACCTGAGCCAAACCCCTCTTTCGACACAGACATATAGTGTAGGTACAGACAATAATGAGTGCATTCTCAAAATTGTAAATCTGCATGGGCGCATCACATTAAATTTCTAAATTTATTTGTCTGAAATGCTACACGAACTGCTATAAATAATGCACAAATATTCGTG